AGCATTATACATTGCAAATGAACGTTGTCAGCCTAGGGAGTTTTCTTTTTTAATGCATTTATTAATGATACTTGCACTTACCTATTTCATTACAATTTAATGATTCACCTCAGCACTTTTACTTTTCTAAAACAGCTTTCAATCCCTTGTAAACGTTGTACTTACCTCAATATTGGTTGGTTATCGTATGCCGACAACCACGGGATGAAAACGAAACGAAGTCGATTTTCCCGCTCAACCTGGAGGACAATTGTACAATTCAATAACTATACAGCCTAGTTCAGACAATGTGTATTTATATATATATCAAATATTTAACTGTTGAAACATTATTAACTTGTAGACAATCTACGATTTGATATTATATCATACTTGATCGTGCCTGTAAAAATGGCATGCATTTTCATGTAAATTTATATGTTTATATGAGAATATACATTATTATTATTATTATTATAAATGCCAATGGTCCAAACTAAGCGTCTAACTCCACTGTCTGCTTCACATCCCAGTAAAAAAATCAAACCAAACAGAATTATTAGCCCTGCAGGAAGTGAGAGCACTGCATCTGTTGATTTAACAACTACATATACGTCTGCTGCGGTAGACACGTCAAGCCCGGACATTAAACTCCCCTCACTTGCTTGCGTAGTAAACAACATCATGGATGGTATACACAGTGATACTACATGTAATGATCTAGGCCTAGTAGACACCTGCAAAGCGTCTTGCGATAAGAATTACACGGCAAACATTCTTAGTCCCATCACTAATCCAGTTTTTTGTTCTACACTTAGTTGTGAAGATAAAATCGAAGAACTACTTTCTATAATTAGGGGGCTTGAAGTTAAGATGTCAAAACTGGCACTGCCTAGTGAAACTGGCAGTAGTAGTACTTCACCTAGAAAGTTACCACAAACTGCAAACCTTATAAGCTACGTTGCAACTGAAGTATATCAACGTGTAGTGCGCGAGAAGAACATAATTGTGTATAATATACCGGATAATGCACAGATCAACAAGGTCAAAAGCACTCTTTTGAATGCATGCTCTATGAATAACGTCCCATGTAGCTGCCATCGACTAAGAAAGTCTGAGAAAAAACAATCTTCCCCACTTGTGTTGAAATTTGACTCATCCTCTAATGCTGACATCTTTTACGGTAGGCAAACACTACTAAAAAATACGCGTTTCCACACGATTAAGTTAGCTCGTGACAAAACACCAATCCGAAGAATGACTTATGTGACCGATGCTAAAGCTGTGAATCCCAACTCCTCTACAGCACCCCTGAGCACCCGCAATTCTGTAGAGGCAGAGCAAAGGGGTGTGAACCTTTGTGTACAAGGCACATCGTATTCGGAAACGAACTTTCGTGAAAATATAAGGTCCAAAAATGGTTTGATGTGTAGCCATAGACTAAGAAGGAAATCCACCGTGAATCTAGACTCCTCTGATAATGATCCCTGTACCCCGGTGACAAACTGCGGTACATCACACCCAGTATTCCCCAATCCAAGCAGTCTCAATTCCAGGAAGTTAAAAAGTGGGGCTACCAGTTCGTCCACAAAGACAGTGCATAATAAGAGACTACTGCCACACACTAATTCAGATACTCACAGGTTGATAACACACCTCTCTGCAGAAACAAATACTCACAAAGCCGAAAGGGATAAAAACCGTAAAACGCAGCCCGAACCTCGTAGCTACTTGTCCAAAAAAGTAAACCCTCCCACCACTTTAAACCGAAAGATTGATACACTTAACTATAGGACGTCGAATAGTGGTGAAGTAAATCGCAAAAATTCGAGTCAGTTTAGCTTGCTTGGTAGGCCACCTCCACCTATTTACATGCCCATACTCAACGGGACTGACCATCCAACGATCAGCAATTTCGCTGAAACGACATTACCATTTTTTATTCAGGTTCACAACATGACCTCAAACATACTACAAATGCTTACCGCTCTCCACAGGTTTCGCCCCCCAATATAGATATGACAGCTCATACAACAATGCCTAATTACCGCCGAGAGCTCACCTTACATGACTCAGACAATTCTCTTCTTCGTCAAAAACCCTCTATATCCTTTTCTTCTGATAGCCAATCTTCTTCACATCCGAACTTACTTGAACTCGGAAATATAACTGACCCCTTCTGCACTTCTTGCTTTCCTAGGGCATCTACAGACATAGATACTTCATTGTCGTCTGAGGACACTATGATTGAATCGCATCACCAGCTACTTCAAGACATGGCTAAAATCTTAAGATATGACTCGGCTAATCCTAACATAGTCCTTATTAATGCCAGGTCAGCTGTAAACAAAATGGCGTACGTCCAATCCCTACTACTGATTAGCCAACCTACAGCACTAATGATCACTGAAGCTTGGTGCACAAGTGAAATAAATGATGATTTCTTTCACTGCGAAGGCTACTCATTTTTTAGGAAGAACAGATCAGTTAGGAGGGGTGGAGGATGAATTATCTATGTTAAATCTAACTGCAGAGCTGTGCACTATGGTGACCCCAACCTGGATATATGTGATACATTATGGGTGACACTCTACATAAATAAACAGAAAACCTTATTATTAGGTTGCATTTATCGCCCACCCAACCACGACAGTGAACTGCTAAGCCAGATAACTGCAGCCTTCCATTACACTTCGAAATTGAACTTTACTTATAAAGTGATTGGAGGTGATTTTAACATGCCAGAAGTTTCATGGGAGCCTATTAGTGCTCCTCCCCACTACAGCAAATTCTTGGATGCGGTTGAATTATGTGGGTGGACACAAAGTATTCTAAGGCCCACCCGAAACCAAAATATACTGGACTTGGTTTTCTTGAAAGACATCGCCTTATCTACCATAGACATCAGCCGACCATTCCCTGGTAGTGACCACAACACAGTAATCTGCGCCCTTGATACCAAGCTCCACTCATCAAAACGCTCTACCCTGCGCAAGACATTCATGTGCTTCGGAAAAGCTAGGTGGGACGTATCTAACTCCTTCATTAGAAGCTTAGACTGGGACCTTTTCTTTTCTAATAGCAACCTAGACACTATCCTACTAGCCTTTTACCAGAATGTATCTATTTGCTTTGATAATCTTGTTCCTAAATGTAAAGAAAACCCAAGAGAAAACATAAAGAATTTCATTCCTATAAAAGTAAAGGCTAAGCTGCGAAAGCTGTACCGACAGTACCACAGAGAAAACGACTTCTCATGTCTTCTAAATATACAGAACATTTATCTAGCTTTGAAAGAAAATAACGACAAAGCCCTACTCAGACAAGAACATGCAGCTCTTAAAGATAGCTCTAAATACACTGCAATCTGTAGGCTTTATCGCAAAAGGCTAAACTCCCGTAAAACGGATATACAATTCATTTTAGAAAATGGCGAAACCGCTAGTGACTCTAAAATAATTTGTGAGCTTCTAAACTCCTATTTCTCACAGTCGTATACCTATGATGATAATACGTTGCCACAACCTCTATTCCCTGTACGTTCACAAAAAACCTTAGAAATTATCAGCTTTTCTTTAGATAATATTAAGAAAGCAATCACTTCTCTTAAAAGTTCAAACAACCCAGGTCCTGATATGATTCCCTCAACTTTTTTAAAATACGGTGGTGAAGACATTCCTATTCTCCTTCTTAAATTGTTCTCTACCTCTCTATCAACTGGAACATATCCAGATGCATGGAAAACCACGCACATTACCCCTAGGTATAAGTCAGGCTCCCGTTCAAGTGTCATGAGTTACAGACCCATTAACCTAACTTCTGTTATTTCAAGGGTTCTGGAAAAGATCGTGAAAAGTGCCATTTTTGACTTCCTCTCTCAAGAGAAACTTATCACTCCTTATCAACACGGTTTCATGAAGTCACGTTCTTGTACGACATGCCACTTACAATTTTTCGACCACATCTCACAACTTAAAGATTCCAGTATGATCACAGTTATCGTATACTTAGATCTTAGTAAAGCCTTTGACACTGTAAGCCACCGACTGTTAATATCAAAAGTCCAGTCCTATGGGATACAGGGTTCATTGTTAAGCTGGCTCAGTTCGTTTCTAAGCAACCGGATGCAAATGGTCAGGTTAGGTTCCCACACATCCAACCCCGTTCGGATAACAAGTGGAGTTATACAAGGTAGTGTCCTAGGTCCACTGCTATTCCTGTTATATTTCAATGACATTTGCGACGTTATTAAACATGGCAGACCTTTCCTATTCGCCGATGACATCAAAATAGTGTATCACTCACTCAGAAATGAAGTGTCATGTGTATTTAGTAGGATTCAAGATGATATTGAGAGCGTCCAATTATGGTGTAACACATGGAAAATGAAGTTTAACGTTGAAAAATGTGGTGTGCTATGCTCCAAAAGCATTTCATCTGAACTTTCCATCTCCCTACACAACAAACATATTCCTCGTCTGCCGCTTACAACAGACTTGGGTCTGAAATACACTCCAGAATTTAGCCTGACGGAATACGTTAAATTACAAGTATCAAAGGTCAAAAGGCTCTTTGGATTTTTATTCCGAAACTTTAAGACCAGTGAATCCAAAATTATGCTGTACAAGTTGTGCGTAAGGCCCTTACTTGAATTTTGTCCCCCTATCATGGACAGTGTCTCCGTAAAAGACAGATGCAAATTAGAAAGTCTACAAAGGGCGTTTACTAAACGTCTAGTAGGTGAAAATCTTTGCATTTCTTACTACGACAGATGTAATCTATTCCAACCCAGTCATCCATGCGTGTTTAACCTCATAAAATAAATCTCACCATGGTATTATGCGATACTTGTCATAAGTATAAAAGATGTTAAGAGGCATAACCAAACCAGAAAGTTAAAGCCCATTTTGAAATTTATCAGAGTCGACCAAAATTTCTAAACTGAATGAAGAAGACAAAGTGCAACCGAAGTATGAAAACATTAACACGATTAACGTAAACACAGAATACATTACTCAAACCTTAATGATTGACTGGATTATTTGCTCAGAGCATCTTAGAAATTCATCTATGATAACCTTTTCTTGTTCATAGTCGGAAAGATTTCTGAGTGCAGCTTCATTGGCGTGAGCAAGCATACAGCTGCATGCTGCCTCAATTGATTCGTAGGAAATAAGCTTAAAAATATGACTTGGAAACTCAGATTACCAATTTTGGCCTGTTTATATATCCATGTTCAGTAGGTAGATTTGATTTGATGGTGCCCAATATTCCTCCGAAAGCTTGGTTAGCATGTGGTAGTTGGACATAATTCTCCTTGTAACAAAATGTATCTTGACTATACGTGAAAGAAGGTGATTTCAAATAGATCAGAAGTATCCGAGACAACCTACCCATTGTGTAACAGTGAGTTTTGCTCACTGATCCGAAGAGGATCTGCGTCTGATTCTTGCTGAATCTGCTCCTCCCCAACGTTTCGACATCCCTGACACCGACATAAGTTAGAACACGCAATTTTCGCCTGTAAGTGAGACTGGTTAAGTAATTACTATGAAACCTCATAACATTCGCAATAGTTTTTCAGACAGCCGGACTTTTTGCAGTTGCACCCCTTTGAGTGTCGTCGTTCGCCGTCGCCTAAAGTAGTAAGCAGTGAGAACCACCTTACCGACTTTCGGATGAAATGCCAGTGGATTTTTTTCCAAAGTGAGTTCTATTGCCCTCCGACGATCTTCTTCATGAAGACCATTGTTCATACAGTTAGTACAGTTGCAGTTATTGCAAGCACTGCCTCGAGCAAAACATTCGCAATACAGTTTGAGACAATGAGACTTGGCGCAGTTGCATGGTTTATGGTAAGAAGGGAAGGTGTAAAACGTGTCAGAAATTCCTGAATGATCTCTCGATTCTGATGAGCATTGAAAAAATTCAGTAGGAACAGTTTTAAGTGAGTCCTAAGTAAAACTGAGCATTCCGTCCAACTTTTACTTACATTTTCCATGTGAATGTTATTTAGTTGTCCAGGTAAATTCGCTTCACTGAAATTGGACTTATTACACCCATTAAGCAGCCCGTTTGAAATAACAGACTCTCCTTTGTCAACATTCATCTTCTCTACATACGTTCACCAATGTGCGAAATCAGAGGGGAAATCGATAGGATGGACTTAGCAACGAGTAAAACAAGCTGCCAAGCGTCCATCTAGAAAACATGGGTCAAAGATGAGTAAACATTAATGCTCAAACTATTCAAATACTGTTTTAGGCAAAGGTAAACAATAGAGTCCCAACTGGTGAGAACGCATGAGTGACCTTGAGCCGACTATCCATAAAAATAAGTGATGTTTGCAAGCGAAATGAGGTTTACTTACGAGAAAATGCACTGAAACACATCAATCAGGGTGTCTTCCAATGATACGGCCTAAAAATACGTCCCACTTAGAGTGAGGAGTATCATTTTGCAAGTTAGACCAGTCTGTGTACATGTATTCACCGAGGTGACTTAAGGTGAGTCTATATTCTGACCCGTTTATCGCCCTTATCCCGTTTTGTAGTCTTCTTCAAAAGCCCTCGATTTAATTACTATGGTTTCCAGTAAAAGGATGCACGACTACTCAGTTGGTGTATAGAGTTCATATTTTCGCTTTAACAACAACAGGTGTCGTTACGGAAATGAATAAAGGCATACACGACCTTATGGAGAGGCTGAGCACTTCAAGGTCGCATATGCGCAATGTGATGTGTACATTTTATTTTGCATAAACGCTGCGCCTAATACGAAGCTCATGTTACTGAGGCGGGCTCTGAAATGATACTAATATAGGTCGCATGAACACTACATTCTTTCAGCTTAAGGACACAAGTTAAGGCATGTTTAGATTCTACAGTTGTGACATGCATGTGGACCCACTAAAAAAGTGAATATTATTGGGTAACTTAATCAAAGAAGTATAAAGTTTGAAGATTTAGTCTTTTTCAGTTGACTGTAACGGACAGAGAGTAGAGGCATTTGTGTGATATTTGCATTTTGCAGAAGACAAAGTGTGAAAGATAAATCGGAAGTTTTAGGATTCTTCAAGTTTATTATGGGATATATGGACTGTTCATACCGATTCTACTATTGTTCCCCCCTTGTTCACATATTCATTGTTGCTAAGATTAGGGATTGTTCACCTGAGGTAAGATTAATTAATCTGATATGTATATATCCTTAGATATTTCTCGGTGTGGCCGGAGGTGGTCAAAGGAATACAATCTCAATCTTTGCATGGAAAGATCATAACAAATTTCTTCTGAAGGATCAGGTGGTGCTGAAAGCTGTAAAGACGGGTCCAGTGTCACAATCATCTAAGGGAAACTGATCCACATATTGTGGATAAAACGATTAGCGGACTTTAATTTGACAATCATGTACCCATAAAAAATCTACAACTGTGATTTTTTTTCCACCCTTTTTAATGTGAATATGTACTGCTTAACTGTTGTTATTTTGTAAATATATGCATTTATGTTGACTACAAGTATCTCTCTTTATTATCATTTTGAGGACATTGCAGAGTCAACGAAGTTGATAGGGAACGTAGTAATACTTGTGTGAAATGCGTGATAATCGTAAACCGATATTATTTCCTCAGTGCGTCATCAAGCCTCCCATGAAGTGTTTCAGTTACACTCAATACGGCTGCGTAAAAGATTATGTTTCATCAGGGCTTGCGAAAAAATATACGTTGAGCTTAGGTTTGTTTTGCGATTACTACATATACATAACAAATGTAGGGCGGCTACGTACATCGAAAATAACGCGTTATAGGTATATCCTATTGAAGAAAATCCTAATATTCTTATGCTGCGTAAATTATCACTCCTTCAGATTAAATCATTACGCATTCCAAAACAGGCTACATCACTAAGCAAGCAAAGGGAAGTAGTAGTGAATTCTTTAAAGAATACCATTAAAACATTAAAGAGATATTTATTTTGATAAATAATTTTATAATATCACACAGATTCCAAAGTTAACGCGCAAATTCTTCAATTGCACTTCATTAAAGCCTCAAAATAAAGTGAACCACTCCGTAAATTACAGTTGCAACCTGCAAATGAACAATAGTATGACATCCGTTAACAAATAATTAGCAACACGAAAATACTCCAAACCAAAGTAACTATTTAAAAAAATTGTTTATTAACTGTTATCTTGCGAATAAATCAACTAACACTCCTTTATAGCTGTAGACTCTTCTGAGTGTTACCAAGTTTTCATATCTCAGAGAATCAAAACACCCTTTCAGAATTTCGCAAAATATGCATCAATTGCCTAATTGATATCGTTTTCCTTAACATAATCAACAATTTACACAGAGTTTTAACATTCCACATGGAAAGAAATAACGAAATTCAATGACAGATACATGTTCACTCAAACTGCTGAAAGCGTCTACTTTCCACCATTTTTCTAAGTTTTTTCGTTAAAATATGGTATTTATGATGTATTTCAGTTGAAAAAACAACTGAAAACAACGTAGAACAACCCGAACACAACATCGCGATAACACATAACGACACTCCGTGTGTGCCTTTATCCATTGCCTAACCAAGCAGCAAAATGATGTCTGAAATTACCTCAACTCGAATGACAAACTGGCCAATCACAAGCTAGCGAATCGCTTGTTTATCTCATTCGCGGTCACTCAAAATTACGTCCGTCGACAGGCTGCCATAGCGTTTGGGCAATGGATAAAGGCACACACGACCTTATGGAGAGGCTGAGCACTTCAAGGTCATGTATGCATATTGTGATTGGTAGATTTTACTTTGCATAAACGCTGCGGCTAATACGTAGCACACGTTGTTGAGGCGGGCTTTGAAATGATACTAATAAAAGTCGCATAAACATCACATTTTTTCAGCTTAAGGACACAAGTTAAGGCATGTTTAGATTCTACAGATGTGACATGCATGTGGACCCACTAAAAAAGTGAATATTATTGGGTAACTTAATCAAAGAAGTATAAAGTTTGAAGATTTAGTCTTTTTCAGTTGACTGTAACGGACAGAGAGTAGAGGCATTTGTGTGATATTTGCATTTTGCAGAAGACAAAGTGTGAAAGATAAATCGGAAGTTTTAGGATTCTTCAAGTTTATTATGGGATATATGGACTGTTCATACCGATTCTACTATTGTTCCCCCCTTGTTCACATATTCATTGTTGCTAAGATTAGGGATTGTTCACCTGAGGTAAGATTAATTAATCTGATATGTATATATCCTTAGATATTTCTCGGTGTGGCCGGAGGTGGTCAAAGGAATACAATCCCAATCTTTGCATGGAAAGATCATAACAAATTTCTTCTGAAGGATCAGGTGGTGCTGAAAGCTGTAAAGACGGGTCCAGTGTCACAATCATCTAAGGGAAACTGATCCACATATTGTGGATAAAACGATTAGCGGACTTTAATTTGACAATCATGTACCCATAAAAAATCTACAACTGTGATTTTTTTTCCACCCTTTTTAATGTGAATATGTACTGCTTAACTGTTGTTATTTTGTAAATATATGCATTTATGTTGACTACAAGTATCTCTCTTTATTATCATTTTGAGGACATTGCAGAGTCAACGAAGTTGATAGGGAACGTAGTAATACTTGTGTGAAATGCGTGATAATCGTAAACCGATATTATTTCCTCAGTGCGTCATCAAGCCTCCCATGAAGTGTTTCAGTTACACTCAATACGGCTGCGTAAAAGATTATGTTTCATCAGGGCTTGCGAAAAAATATACGTTGAGCTTAGGTTTGTTTTGCGATTACTACATATACATAACAAATGTAGGGCGGCTACGTACATCGAAAATAACGCGTTATAGGTATATCCTATTGAAGAAAATCCTAATATTCTTATGCTGCGTAAATTATCACTCCTTCAGATTAAATCATTACGCATTCCAAAACAGGCTACATCACTAAGCAAGCAAAGGGAAGTAGTAGTGAATTCTTTAAAGAATACCATTAAAACATTAAAGAGATATTTATTTTGATAAATAATTTTATAATATCACACAGATTCCAAAGTTAACGCGCAAATTCTTCAATTGCACTTCATTAAAGCCTCAAAATAAAGTGAACCACTCCGTAAATTACAGTTGCAACCTGCAAATGAACAATAGTATGACATCCGTTAACAAATAATTAGCAACACGAAAATACTCCAAACCAAAGTAACTATTTAAAAAAAATTGTTTATTAACTGTTATCTTGCGAATAAATCAACTAACACTCCTTTATAGCTGTAGACTCTTCTGAGTGTTACCAAGTTTTCATATCTCAGAGAATCAAAACACCCTTTCAGAATTTCGCAAAATATGCATCAATTGCCTAATTGATATCGTTTTCCTTAACATAATCAACAATTTACACAGAGTTTTAACATTCCACATGGAAAGAAATAACGAAATTCAATGACAGATACATGTTCACTCAAACTGCTGAAAGCGTCTACTTTCCACCATTTTTCTAAGTTTTTTCGTTAAAATATGGTATTTATGATGTATTTCAGTTGA